GCCTTTCAGACCTGCTGGCACTTAAATTGTGTCGCCCAAGCTCTACGTTAAATTGTTGCGCCTTGATATCACAATGTATTCGTCACATCTGATGTGCCTAACACTGACACAAGTTTCAAAAAAATATTCGTCATCACATTAATTATATACCGTCGAAATTTTTTTGATCACCCATTAACCCGGCACCCGGGCCTAAGAGGCACGGCCATACTGATTCTTTCTAGGTCATGAGATAGAAAATGCCCAAGTGCTCAAGTTATTATAATATTCTAGATTATTGACAATGAGACAATGAGTGACTCAGCGAAGAACAGACGCTTGTTTGAGACCTTTTTGAAAAGTATTCCACTCAAAGAAGCAGAGAATGAAGTTTCCTCTGAAGATAGTGGCTTTGATAGTGATTTTGAGCGCTCTGATGTATCTGAATCGGAATTATCTGATTTATCAGAAGCAGAAGATGAAAGGTTGAATGCTGATGACAACAACATCATGTTTAAAGCCAAATATGGTGATTTATGGTCCTCGAGCCTTGAGGTTCCTGATTTGGTAGAAGCAGGATTTACTGATGGCATTTACCTGCTTTTCCATTGAGAGAGTGCTCTCGAAGTGGCCTCCAAAGAGTTTTGACAGAGTCTGCAGCTTTGATTGCGCTGGTTCCAACTTTCAGCTCAATGCCCTGGGTAGCCTGTGAATGACTCTTTGGTTTGAAAACCATAATTTCAGTTTTTTCTTTGTTGATCTCCAGCATATATTGGAATTGGTCCAGTTGGTGATGTCAGTCATGCATGTTTCCAGGGTTTTGGTGGCAGAAATCCAATCAGTGGATGGATGGACGACTTTGTACACCTGCTTGTCATCTGCATAAACATGGTATGGAAGGTCGTGGTGCCGGTATATTTCACTCATAGGCTTGGAATAGAGGCAATAAAGAACTGGTCCGAGGACTGAACCTTGTGGCACACCGTACTCAAGACACTTGTCAATCCACAAAGCTGGTCCTATTGCTACTTGTTGGGTAACTGGTGTGAAATATGTCAGGTGTTTACCAGTAAACTCCACATCAACTCCCATTGCCGAATTATCTGAGACATTTTGACCAGAAGATGGTGTATTATCTCTTATAGAAGTGACTTCACTGGTGAAGAAATCACTGAACTTGTTGGAAAGTGTCTTGTCAGAGGAGCACGATGGTAGGATCGTCTTAGCCGACTGTCCCATCAGATTTTCTGTGAGTCTGAAGAGCTGTAATGATCGGTTTTGCAATCAGCGATCCGATCACAATAATGATCACTCTTGGTCTTGATTAACAGCTTAGCATACTCCTTACACTTTTCCTTGTATAGCTGTTTATGGATACAGAGTTAAGTTCTATGCCACTGTCGTTCTGCAGCACGACGGGAATGGTTCATCTCTCTGAACTCGCCTGTGTACCAAGGAGCATTTGTAGAGGATCACGTTTATCGATCTGAGAAGCAAATCCGCTGTTATTCGACTTTCCCAAAAGTGTTGTTATCTCCCTTTACATAATATTTTAGAATTATCTCCCCTGAACGTTGTCTTCTTCCGGTGAGTAGTTTTATCAAAATGGCGGAGAAAAGTGACGTTAGCATTGTTGAGAGTGATGTAAATTTTGATTCAATGAACATGAAAGAACTTAGAACATACTTAAGAGACAGAAACCAAAAGGTAACAGGAGTTAACGATCAACTCATAGCCCGTGCAAAAGGTGCACATGCACTGAATTTACAGAAAATACTTCTGTAGTTGGACAATCTAACACTTCTGGGACCCTCAGGTATTTCTTTGTCAATAACATCAAAGCTTTGTACGCCGAGTGGTTATCAGATGCCAGATCCTTTTTCATTAATTACTGGATGGAGCGATGATCTAGAGTTGCTGCCATTATTCACAGAGAGGGACATATACACTTACCTGGTATTGAGCACCAATCGAACTGTGAACATTAAACCCATGAAAGCTATTCGTCAACTCAAGGCAGAGATATTTTATGAAGACCGGCACGTCCACAGCATAGTTGTTGACGGTATCTCTGACGACTGTGACCATCTGTTTGTCAGATGTTTAGTTATACCATCTCTACCACCAACAGATAAGAAGCGTAATCCTGACCATCACGTCTGGGTCTGCCTGTCTAAAGTAACAGGCCATGTCAACTCTGCTTACTGTACCTGTGCAGCTGGGTATTTTCAAGTATTTCAGATAAACATGAATCACTTTACAGTTCCCTGATTGTAGATAAATTCGTTGTTTTGTTTTGTTTTGTTTTGTTTTTACACCTTCGTTTAAATCTAAATATATATATCTTGATGAAGGATTATGAACGATTTATTCGGGTTTTTTAATTCAATTTCGGATCTATCAATGTAATTAATATTGGCATTACATAACTGTAATTAGATCTTGATTACGTGGAGGAGAAACATATTACATGCTAATAATTTGTACTGATAATCTGTTTATTCATTGTGTATTATTGTCTAAAGGTTTGCAGTTAACATTATATAATATATATCTTATTAGTGTTCACTGATGAATGTTATGTTCAGGATGGGTAATATGAGTCAATTAAAGACTGAATGCACAAACTTAATTACTCGTATTCTTTTACAGAGCTGGAGAAGGCTGCAACCATGTCTATGCCTTGGTGGATATATCACAGAAGAAGGAAGCAGGACAACTCTTGTGTACCTCTACCAAATGTAAATGGATGATCCCTCGAGATCGAAAGCTTGCTCCTTTGACCGCCGACGACCTGACCTACATCTAATGTCAAGTGGGAGAAGGAGTGTAGAAGAGAAGAAACTAACTGCACAGTAACGTCTTCATATAATCATGAACCCTGTGATATGTGTCCCAATACAGGTATGCCCAAAACAAGCATAAATGTGGACCGATTTAGGGAAAAAATAACAAGTAATTAAAAAAAAAGAAATGTGGATTTGTAGTCACAACTGGTGTAGTAAATGATGTAAGACTTCCACAGTTACATGCACCACCAGTTGACTTTTGCTTTTGTGATAGTGTTGATCTTTTGTCTCAGAGTTGTCAGAATGTGTTTGAAAATTATGTTGAAACTATCAAAGTTACTGAAGAAGAGTCAACAATTATTGAGAGCATTAGTAGGGGACAACAGAAGCAGGAGAATTGGAAGGAGGCAAGGAAAGAGAGGATAACAAGTTCTGATTTTGGCAGGGTTTGTCTACGGAGATCCACGACTGAACCAGATAGACTTGTCCACCATGTTCTGGGTTACGGTAAAGATTTTCATCAGTTCATACGAGATGGGGCACTTCCCATGAGCCAGCTGCTCGACAACTATATGTTCTCAGGATGACTAAAGACCATCCTAATGTTAGGGTAACACAGTGTGGATTCATTGTAAATCCACAGTATCCCTATTTGGGAGCTAGTCCTGATGGCCTGGTGTCTTGTGTTGACTGTGAAAAGTGCTGTTCATCATATGGACTACTTGAGATCAAATGTCCCTCGACACTCAGGGATCTTAAAGCACAAGAGGCTGCTTCACATACAGATTTCTTTTGCAAATTGGATGAAAATATGAACTTGAAACTTCACGAAAATCACCCCTATTACTTTCAAGTTCAAGGTCAAATGGCTATTGCACAGAGAGAATGGTGTGACTTTGTAGTTTGGACACTGAAGGGTATTTCAATTCAGAGAATTGCATTTGATAAATTGAAATGGGAGGAAATGTTTCAAAAACTGAAACGTTTTTATGTGACAATTGTACCAGAACTCGTCTCCAGACGAGCGCATCGTGGACTTAAACTGTACTAATTATCTTCACAAGTATTACACCAAGTGACTTATTACTGATTGAAAATATTTGAAAATATTCTCAAATCATGATATTGTAATAATTATCATCATGTAACAACTTTCATATTCATATTCATATTCATATATTGTTCCAACGGAATTTTTAGAATTTCACATTATGCAGAACTACATAATAGTACATATATCGTCAATAGAACATACATCAACAGTGACAAAATTGAGTTTTTAGTCAAAGGGCGGATAACTCCAGTGATTACAGTAAAGGGACATGGAAAACCTTCATTATTTCAAATATAAAGCTGCAAAAAGATAAGAAAAGTTGATGATATCAATTGATGTATGAATTTATTTCTTTTAACATTTGTTGGAGTATAAAGCCTTTATTAAAGGCCTTTGATGATATTTGGTCGTACATTTGTACATTGTTTATGAATGATGAAAATTGTCATAATGTGCACCACTTGTACATTGTTCTGCCTCAATTTGTACATAAATAAAACATTTCAGTAAATAAAACTATATGTCATTTGTACAATTAACATAATTAAAGATGATCAGAAGTTACTTTTACATGCGCTTGTTGGAAATAAGATAGATTAGTATTACTGAAAGAGTTCAGTTATCCCAACATTAAGAAAAATGAGTGAGTTTAGTTTTACACCGCTTTTAGCAATATTCCAGCACAATTCACAGCAGGGAACACCATTAATGGGCTTCACACTTTCTACCCATGTGGGGACCCGAAACCAGGGGGTCTTCGGCGTGACGAGAAAACACTTTAACTTCTAGGTTACTCACCACCCCATGAAAAGCAAGCATTCAGTCATTTCTTGAGAATGAAAAATATCATCTCAGACTAGATTGATTACACTATCAATGATAATCCCAGTATTCATAATAAACACCTTATCTTGCAAATAATCAAGCATTTTCATCAAACACATGTACATCAGTTGTATCAGAATCCTGGTTATGGGGGTACAAAGGTGGTAGTAATGTTGTCAATGCATTGCAGATTTTCCATATTTTGTTCACAGAATTGGAAATAGTTATGGGAATGATACCTTGTAATATTCTGAATTTTTTTACTCTTTCCATGTGTCTCTCTACATGGATTCTCAAATTTGCAATTCGTCTAGTTTTCTGAATTTCTTCCAATGCCAATTGCTTTATTTTACGTTTTAATGGAGGGATGATTAAGTGTAATCCTTTAGGGGTAATTAAGTCAGATATTAGAAATCCTTTATCAGCCATTACTGCATCTCCAAACTCACACAAGTTTAATATACCTGATTCTATAGTAATCTGTCTGTCACTTATAGCTCCAGACCATAAATCTGACACAAAACTGACCACACCATTAGGAGTAATGCCAATTAAACCTTTTAATGTAATATGGCTTTTATAGTGACTATACATCTGTGATTGTCTTGCTACTGAATAAGGCTTCTCAATGAATATTTCTGTGCAATCTATTACAACCCGTGTTTGTGGGTATATATCCTTGAATCCTTTTGGCATAGTAGCATCAATTATGTCTCGTTTTGGCCAGGAAATCAGAAATGACAGATTTTTGTACATGAGATCGATCCATCTGTTAATTGTCCGAGCACAGGTTGTTCTGGAAACATGGAAACGGTTAGCTATATCTACAACTAAAAGCCCAAGTCGAAGTCTCATCAATAACATAAAAAACTGATCTATTAGTGACAATGAGTTTGGTCTTCCAAACTTTGATGATGGATAATCTCTTTCATAAGCTTCAGACAATTCGTCAAAAATACATGAAAATGTATTTCCATCTCCTAATCCTGTGTAAAAGTTAACTAGCTCAGGATCTGTCTTTATATCTGCAAATGTCAGTGATGGTAGCAACACCTGTCTACTTTGCTCACAAGTCTGAGTGAAATCTGTTTGTGTACAGGCACTGGTCTGTTGTGGTGCTGATGGCTTGCCCTGACTAGAGATGGCTTGAAAGAAACCTTCATCTGTCTGAGTAGAAGTGGAAAACTTCTGTACGAATGCAGTCTGACAGGATGCATTTCTTTGTGATGAAATAGTGTTCTCTGGTATGGGCCCACAGTAGTCATGCAAGAACAAAGAAAGCTTGTCACAAGACCTGTTGATCAAGTAAATGGAATTAGGAGATAATACAGGCAAAATAAGGGAATATGTTTAACAACATGTGTTCTTTTTAACCCAATTTGAACAAATCGCATTGAAAAGAAAAATAATTGTGTTTACTAGTTTACACTGGTTAATGTTAAGTCATAATAAGCAAAATAAAAGTGGTTACATCAACAAACCTTTCATTTTGATGAATGGTTGTTTGGTTGTCTTCACCATCATTGGTGTTGGCTGCACCATCTTCCTCTTCGACAGCTGTCAGAGCCATGTCAGTTCCATCAGTTATCTGTTCAAATTAGTGTTTTTCTTGGTTAGATTCTGACAATGAATATTAATGTCCTCTTCATGAAAATAACTCAATATAAATTATAGTTACAGTAAAAACCATGTTCACAATAAAAAGAAAACAGAAATAATTTTATGATTTTTTTAGCACTGATAAGATTATCATACTATTTTCAGCTACCACGTTATAATAAAACCTAATGAAAATTTTGATTCAATTCATTTGATTTAAACATATTTTTTCAGGTAAGCATAAAATCGTAGTTTGCTATTTTACATGGGTTGCCTGCAAACCAATCTACACTGAAAATTATCATAATTATGTTCATAATTGGTGCTTTGTAACTCTAACTAAATGCTAGTAAATAGGAAATATTTCAAAATCATTTCGTCATTTCTCAATTCTACTGTAAACAGGACATTTACATGTAAAATAACTTACTGAACTACTGCTGAAACTGAGAAGTGATGGTATGGTGATCTCTGAGGAAGGTCCCGCCAATCCCTCAAAATGATCAGAGCACACCCTAGTGTGTTTACTAAAAGAAAAATCTTTTCTCACAAGTCGTAATCGGCGAAGCCATGCTTGTCTTAAATCCTTCCTCAGTGGAACAGAATGGAGGGATGTCATCCGGGAACCAAGTTGTTTACCCTGGTGAGTTTTACATATGCAGCAGTATTGCTTCCCCATTTCAGTAACGTCAAGTCACGGCAATTTACTCACCGGAAGCACTATCGTTTTAATTGAAGAGCTAAATGCAAGGGCAATAACTCTAAATGACAACGACTTTTGGGAAAGTCAAATAGGCTTGAACAAGCTCTTCCAAGGAACTGTCAGTGAGCGGGAGGTCAGTAGACGTCTTAACGTCGTCACAGAAGTCTGGTATGGAGATTGCTCTGTATCTGCGAAAAATGCATCGTTGCCGTTGTAGCGTTCTGTGTATCTTGAGATTTGAATAAACACAGAGACGTCGTGGGTACAGGTCGGACATGTTGCTTTACTCATTTAACCCTCATTACAATACAAGGGAGATAACTCTCATAGATGTGCATATCAGTACATCTCCCCTCTTTAAGATGTACAATGAAGCATCTTTAGGTATACTGAAGATGATTGCATTTTACAGAGATAAAGTCACTGGAGAAACAATGTCAAATATGTTTTGTTAATAGTCCTGAAATTATTATTTCTGAAACCAAAGTGTTTAAATTTATAATTTAGTCTTTTGACACAACCTGCACATTTTTTCATCAGTTCCGACAATGTGACTTGTCAAGTACAATACTGTTGTTTTAGCCAGTCACATAGTCATTAAGATACTTCGTGTCTGGGTAGGACAGCTCTGTGTGCTACTGGTTGTTGACTGTTCTCGGCCCGGTTTGATCTCAGGCTCTGTTATGTTCTGTTTCTCTGCTGGGACTGTATTGCCGACTGGATCCGAGATGTTAGGTTGAAACCTGACCTGTTTCGGACCTCGGAGATGTCTGCGATTTCTCCTATACTGCATCCCTTCCTCAGTTTCGACACAGTAAGATCCTATTCCCACTTTGTCTTTCACCTTAGCACTTTTCCATTCCTTTTCTCCTCCATACGGCTTCATTACGACTGTCTCACCTGGTTTTAGCTCTGGGAGGGTCTTGGCATTTCTGTCATAATATTTCTTCTGTTTTGCCTTTCTAGTCCAAAGCTTCTTTGGGACTGAATTAACTTAGGTGACAGTTGTTTGGCTGACAAACTCAGCAAAGTGCGTGTTCTTCAGCTGTAGAGTCGCTGAACTGGGGAGCTTTCCATGTGTTCTGTAGGTGTGTTCCGCCAATCGAGGAGTGCCAAATAGGGAGCCGTGCCAGCTTTCCTTGACTTTATCATTATTCTCTTGGCCACTTTCACTGAGTTCTCAATTTTCCCTTTGGACTGTGGACAGCGCGGAGAGCTTGTACAATGTTCAAATTCAAAAGTTCTGGCAAACGTTGTAAAAGCTTTGGAGCCAAATGGTGGTCCGTTGTCTGACATGACCTGAACCGGAATACCATGTCTGGCAAACTGCTGCTTCAGCTTCCTGATGACCGTTTTTGATGTCTTATCATGTAGTCTATCTACTTCGAAGAAGTCTGAGTAATAGTCGGTCGTTATGAGAAAGTCTTTCCCCTCAAAGTCGAACAAATCGACTGCTACTTTCTCCCAGGGACGGCTTGGCAGACTGTGACTTTTTAATAGTTCTTTCTGCTGCTCATCATTGTAACAGGCACAGATTTCCCACTTGTTTATGAATTCCTTCACATCTCTATTCATATTGGGCCAAAACACAGCTTCTCTTGCTCTTCTAAGAGAATTCTGAATTCCACAGTGACTAGAGTGTAGTTTGACCATGATGTTGTGTCGTTCAGCTTTAGGCTCTACCACACGTTCACCTTTAAAGACTACACCATTCTGGAATGACAGTTCGTCTCTATAGTTGAAGTATTGCTGAACCACAGTTGAGAGATCAGATCTATTGTCTGGCCATCCCTCTATGATGACTGCAGCTACTGCTTGGATTTCTCTATCTTCAGATGAGGCTTTGGATATTTGAGTGAATGTTTGTGATGATATTGGAACATAGCTCACCATATCGATTGATTCGACGTTTATTTCAGCTGGAGATCGACTGTCTACCATCATGATACAGTGAGCATCTTGATTCCACTGGTTTGACATTTATGGTAGAAAGGGTACTGAGGGTATCAGCCATGACCATCAAAGAACCCTTCTTGTAAACCACTTCAAAGTCATAACGTTGTAAGCGTAGCATCATTCTCTGCAAGCGCTTCGGAGCATTGTGGAGACTCTTATTCAAGATAGTCTCTAGAGGCTTGTGATCAGATTCTATCTTCACATGTCGCCCATACACATATCTGTCAAACTTCTCCATGCCAAACACAATGGCGAGTAGCTCCTTCTCTATCTGAGCATAATTTGTTTCAGTCTCAGTGAGTGCTCGCGATGCATACATGAGTGGATGATCGTTCTGCATAAGGCAAGCCCCTAAACCTTTTTCCGATGCATCACATTGCAACACGGTTTCAGCCTCCGGATTGAAATACTTCAGAACTGGTTTAGCAGACAAGATCTTCTTCACTTCATCAAAGGCTTTGGTGTGAATATCATCATTCCAGCGAAATACAACACCTGATTTGAGCAAATCTCTGAAAGGTGCAGTTGCTTCTGACAGCTGTGGAGCAAACCTCTGCACAAAATTGGTAAGTCCCAACAGACGTTGTATCCCTTGTTTATCAGTTGGAGGTGGCATTTTCAAGATTGCCTCAACTTTTGAAGGATCAACTTTTAGACCTTCTGATGATATCACATGACCTAGATAGGTAACTTCAGTTCGTCTCAATTTCAGTTTCTGGAAATTCAGTTTGATGCCTTTAATCCGACATCTTTGGAGCAGAGCTTTGAGATTTGCATCATGATCTTGTGTTGCTTCATCCATGTTGCTGCCTGATCCATATATGATGATGTCATCATGAATAGCTTTAGCTCCATGAAGACCTTCCAATGCATCATCGAGTCGTCTCTGGAATTCCTCTGGGGCAGGTGAGATACCAAAGGGCATTCTTTTCCACCGAAATTTTCCCCATGGGGTATCAAATGTGGTTAGATAACTGCTGTTTTCATCCAGGCACACATGCCAAAATCCATTTTTGACATCAACCACTGTAAACAGTTTTGCATTTGACAGTTCAGGCAAGACATCATCAATTGTTGACATTGAGTAATCATTTCTCTTTAAAGCTTTGTTGAGAGGTTGTGGGTCTAAACAGACACGTAGACGTCCATTACTTTTCATGACCACTACCATTGACGAAATCCACTCAGTTGGTACATCAACCTTCTGTATCACTCCGAGCTTTTCCAATCTGTTCAGTTCAGCCTTGAGCTTAGGCTTAATAGCTATTGGAGTTTTCCTCAACGGAGTCTTCACTGCAGAGACTTTTGGATCTATCTCAAGTTTGAGGGTCCCTTCTAACTTTCCTTCCCCATTGAAGACATCAGAAAACTCTTCGATTACATTGTCTTTGGAAATCGACATTATGTTGTCGAAGTTGACTGTAATCAGGTTCATCTCTTGGACTGCCTGTGCGCCAAGAACAGGTCTAACTTCATCCTGAACTATGATGAATTCAAGTATTTGGGTTTCACAATTCCTTGGATTCACTACAGAAATCTGGGTTTTTCCAATAGTGTTCATTTTTGTATTGTTGTAGAGTATCAGTGGAGTGTTGTAAGGATCAAACCTCTCTTCCTTTCCATGGAATATTGTCCTGAACAAAGAGACTGGCATAGCATTCACGGTTGCACCACAATCAAATTGAAACTTCACATTCATCTGAGCAAACAGTTTCTTAGGAGGGTTATCATTCACAGACAGGATAGATTCTTCAAGACTCAAGGCATAGTCTCCTAAGTCACTCTCTGATTCAGAAGCGGAGAGATCTTCAACAGTACTGACTCGCTGTCGCCTGTTTCCTTTCTGTCTGCTTTTCACTTTCTTACGTTTACACTTGATATCAAAATGGTTCATGCCATGACAATATGTACATTTCCAAATGCGGGACACTGGTCTCTATCTCTTGCATGAGATCTGCCACAGAATCTGCACTCTTCAATGTAGGACACATATTTTGGTTTAGTTTGTTCCCTCTCTGATCTTCCACTTTTGCTTTGACCACTGTTCTTTCCATTTCTGTTTCCACTCACAAAGGACACCTGATCAGTTCTCATAGATTTGAGTTGATGATCTGTTGTTTCACATGCTCTGCACATAGTGATACACTTCTCTAGTGTCAAGTCTGCAGTTTGTAACAGTTTCTTTCTTGTGCTATTGTCAAGAATTCCTACAACAATTCTGTCTTTGATCAATGAATCTGTTAGTGTGCCGTAATTGCAGGATTTGGGAAGAGATCGCAGAGCCGCTACATAAGTATCAGTAGATTCACCGCTTTCCTGTTCACGTTTATTGAAAATGTATAGCTCATATGTTTCACTTGTCGAACCAACACAAAATGTCTCAAACTTTTCCAAAACAATGTTTATGTTAGACTTATCATCTTCATTTGCAAATTGAAACCCATCAAAGACTTCCAGAGCATCAGAACCAACAGCTGTAAGAAGAGTTGCCATCCTAAATCTCATTTCTTCTGAAACAAGTCTCTGAGCAATTTCATAATTGTCCCATCCACGTTTAAATCTTTTCCAGTTTGAGGCTAAATTGCCTTTCAGAATTTTGGCGGTAGAGGAATTGCAGAAGGCATATATACCACCTTTGCAGCATTTTCTTCACCCTCAGCCATGATAAGAATGTAGTAACAATCTCCGCAGAAAATGTGAAGCTTCAGCAGGTCTACATTAGATTTTCAAGTCAAACGTACCTGTCATGGAATTTGCAGTTTATAGAGAGAATTATCATAATTCGTTCCAACGAGGTAGAGTACACTTCATAGATACTTTTCATATCAAGAGTTCTTTGAAAAGTCAGTGTATAAGATTTGACTAACATTCACATCCCTGCTCGAAAACTGGGGGACTTTGCAAACCACGTGCTCGACCGATGAGGCGTTAATTCGAATTTTACCTCACACCTGGTAATTTGTCGACTGCAAACTCCAGTATATCTGTAGAAAAGATTCTTGTAGACTTTTCTAACCACTTCTGACACCATGTAGCGTTCTGTGTATCTTGATATTTGAATAAACACAGAGACGTCGTGGGTACAGGTTCGGGCATGTTGCTTTACTCATTTAACCCTCATTACAATACAAGGGAGATAACTCTCATAGATGTGCATATCAGTACAGCCGTGTTGGTTTTGGTTTAGAACTCATGAGTAACCTTCGCTTTGATGACAAGGAAACCAGATCAAGTCAGCGTGCAAATGACAAATTTCGCTGCCTTTAGATGCATTTGAGGGGACATTCTGCTGATATTACAGTCCAGAAAATCTTACTGTGGATGAACAACTCATTCCCATTCGAGGCCGGTGTTCCTTTAAACAATATATGCCAGCAAAACTAGACAAATATGGCTTAAAACTGTTTCGGATTGCGGACTTTTCAAACTGTTATCAAGGTCTTCCATGCCTCGGCAAAGAAGGGATGACTGCTAACGTCACCCTGTCACTTTGTCGACCATTCTTCAAGACAAACAGAAACATTACGGCTGACAACCTTTTTACAGAACTTGCCCTTGGAAATGAACTACTCTCAACTGGTCTTACGATGGTGGGTACCGTCCCTCAGAACAAACGATTTCTTCCACTAGAGTTCATATCAAAGAAGTCTATTCCACTCTTCGGTTCCATTTTTGGTATTCAGAAGGTTACTATTGTCACGTATCAGAGCAAGAAGTTGACATTGTTCAACAGCAAAAAAAACGCAGAAGAATCTTCCTCCACATAAGTTTAATATAACTGGGGTGTCTGGCAAATGGCGGATTCCCCATCTTGTCATACGGCTGCGCTGAATCACAGGCCCTCGTGTCTTTGCGAGGATTATATATATATAAGAATTTGAGATGACCCCCGACTCGAAATACTTCACAGTACAATATATCATGACAAGGCCGAACACTTCGATCGGCAAAGCAGACGGGTGGGGTACACCGAGGCCTTGTCATGATGTATTGTACTGTGAAGCATTTTGAGTCGGGGGTCATCTCAAAAATAATATTTTAAATCTTTAATCCTCGCAAAGGCACGAGGGTCGGCTCACAACAGTTGTGTTGGGGTCATGGGAAGGAAAATAAACATCGATACATCACAGGGAGACAGGTAAGTGACGATATTAACACCACAGCTGTTGCAAATGGGTTGTGAGTGACTTTATAATTGATTTAAGCATTCTTACTGTGTAATACGGGATGTTTGTTGTTTAACGCTTCACTTAGCAATATTCCAGCTGTATGACGATGGTCTGTAAATTATCAAGTCTGGACCATACAATCCGGTAATCAACAGCATGAGCATCTATCAACACATACGATGACATGTGTGTTTAATATAGGATGTAAGTCCTCACAAACACGGGTAGCAGGCTAGTTTGATCAATCCACAAGTATTGATAATGGTCTCCTAAAGACCGTTACACAGCTATGTTTGAAGCGGTGAATGTATTACACGTTTTAAAAAAAAGAAACGCATAATCCATTTTAGGGGAATTAAGCTGGAGAAGTAAACGGCATGTCATAACAATTTACAAATAATATCCAGTCCTGTCAATCTTCGGTTGGTCATGTCACCTATATATTTTGAGACATGTAATACGATGGCTGATTTAAGCCTTTCACATAAACCTTATGAAATAAAGACACGCAATAGATGAGACATATTCAACCCACACGAAAAAGCATAAATATCTGACTTTGAGATGGCCCCTCATACCTGTAGGCAGCACATGCCAGGGGAGTCAACGGTCCGTCGTCATACCTGCCTGAGCGACCTAATTGCCATCTATTGTCTGATCTATTGTTTTCAGCAGCTATTCGTATTTTTGTCAAAGTTTAACTCGATTTTACGAGTAAACATGCTTTTCTGGATATTCTATTAAGCATCCCACTGAACTCCCAGTTAGGCCGATGTGGGTTATTTCGACATGTGCTATTTGCAATTGTGTAAATTGCAGGGATACAGAGTAACAACCTAAAAGCAGTTCTTTATGAAAAGTTGATGAATCTTAATCGTTGATGTTATTTGTTATTATCAGGTATTGTCCTTGCGGCGTTTCTGACAACTGATATGTAACATTTTGTGTTGTACTTAACTAACTACCAGGCGACAGCGGGACACGACGCTACAGCACTACGACAGCACGGCGACAGACACAACAACACGGCAGGGCAATAGACATTACAACACAGTGAGGGTACGACACGTTATAACATCACAGCCACAGAACTTCACGAAGAACTGTTAACGTTTACTATATATTATGAAACCTTACACAGAGTCATTTCATCACCCATGTTGGGCGAGGGGTAATAAGATACAAGCGGCGGTCTAGCGCTGTGGTTTCATTGCTGAAATATTCCTCCCGTAGGCCCGGTGAACGGCAGGAAATATTTCATAGCAGGAAGTGAACCATTTATCACGCGAGAGGTGACCAGGTTTTATTATTTAGATGTAGGAAAATTGTCAGTATCTATGTTTGTATAGGCCACATTGTTCCCGAAATTCATGCTGTAAAATAAAAGACACATGTGCGCAATCATACCAATCATCTTTTCATTCCGTCAGTATACAAGCCCACGAACCTGCAAAACAATGTCTAGCTTTGGCTACGTTTCCGTAAAGATGCATAAACATATCAAACTTTAAGGTATCATTGCTGTATATACGAAAAACAAAATACACCAACATTCAGAGTAATTATCGGAAGACGTCGATTAAATACTATCGTTACCGGAATCCTCAGGTGTGGACACGGTATGTCTATTTATAGCCATGGTTGACAATACCACGGGGGTACCCCGTCATGTCACACCGCTAATGCTGGCAGGTTTACAACAGTTGTGTTGGGGCCGTGGGAAGTATAACAGAGATCGGTTCATCTCAGTGAGCATTGCAAGTGACGATGTTAACACCACAACTGCTGCAAATGGGCTGTGGGTGACTTTAATACTGATTTTGGCATCCTTACTCACAGTGTGTAATACGGGAAGTTTGTTGTTTAAGCCGCACTCAGCAGTATTCTTGCTATATGGCGACGGTTCGTAAATTATCAAGTCTGGACCAGACAATCCAGTGATCAACAGCATGAACATTGATCAACGCAATTGGGCTACGATGACGTGTGCGTTTAATGTGGGATGTAAAGCCCTTACAAACACTGGTCATAGGCTAGTTGGATCAGCCCACGAGTATTGATGCTCGTTCGCCGCCGTGATATTACTGGAATATTGCAAAATAAAGTCACTCGCTTACTCACTCACAACTACAGAGGCAATTGTATTATACATGTTCAAACATTGTTTGTTATACAGACTATTCAAACACAGTTACAGTTGTTTACAATACGGGCTACACACCACAACAAAACAAGGCTAACAAAATACCTTTCACTTCCATTGTAGATTTGATAAGACAGCTAGAGTATCAGCGTGTAGGAAAATAGATTCACATAATAGATATTCCGTTTTCGATTATACAAATATGCTAGTGCACAGGTACACGTACATTTTGTAATATTTCCGTGAAATCAAACACTTGGAAGTCACACATATATTGAGAAAACTCGACCCTTCTTATGTTCATAACTTCCATCTTGGTGTCTTCATACCGAAAAATGGTATCGACACAGATGTATTTTCAAATCCAATACATCCCCTTACATGGTGATCGTGGTTATTGTCAGTAAAACTATAAACTGTTCAGTGAACTGTAGTAAGGTAGGACCAACAGTATATGTCCCTCAGTAAATGTGATATATGGGTACTATATCACACCACACTTCTCTAAAACTAAATAATGCATTTCCCTCAATAATACTAACTATCAGCCCTATCAGGGAAGGTACAATATAATTTATTTCCCCCAAAATACGTATTGAGATTACAGTATTAAATTAAAAAGTTCAAATGAATTTATGCAGCGTTGAAATGAATCGACTCTCGCGCCCTCTACCGACCGAACACCATTATTTCAAGCGAATCCCATAGAGCCTCTTGGAGCTCTCTTTACGAATATCCCACGCACAACTTGTGATTGAAACCAATTCGGCAAACACTCACAACACCGTGTGAGACAGTTTTCGATGTAGGGAGCATTTGTTTAAATTCCAGTTATTCCATATATGGCAAGTATTCTCTGTTTGGAAGCTATTCGCCTCGAAGTTTCAATTATCGATTTCAGGCAAGTAGTTAGTCCTTTATTCCACCAATAGTCGGCTAAAGCGAGTGCATATGCCCCAATATGTATAATATAGGCCACAATATTGTCAAAAATGTGTGACATTGTGCCTTTAAGGTTGTGAAGCTTATAGTCATGTCTTTAATTTTTATCAATAAAACATTTTTCTAAGGGTCCAATTTTTCCCCAAGAAAACGTGTTATCAATCTGTATGAGCCTAACGTGATGATGACTAGTTATCACATATAGAAATGTATTACCATACTTAACCATGTTTGGAAATGGAACCAGACTGTATGGGGGTAAGAAGCAATGCGTTCCGACAATGTCAAACTAGGTATTAATGCTTGATCCTATGAAATCAGCAGTTTTGTACTGTTCCCGCAGGTCATTGATCTTAGAACAATTCATCTTCTAGGGATCGATTGTTGGGATCAACGATTATCACATTGTGTTTGCATGCTAGTGTGAGAATAATAATAATCTGCATTTTCTCTTGGCGTTTCAGAAAACAACATTTGAAGACCCAGTTCGTCAAGTTAAGGGGTAGTGAAAAATGACGTCCCCTGAAGTACAGCAACACAACCAGACAGTACTTGACAACCTACAGCCAGGTGACCTCTTGGAGTTTGATCGAGGAAGGATCAATCATTGGGCTGTGTATATTGGTAAGTTTAGTGTAACAAAATACAAAATCTTTTGTTTGTCTGCTTGTTTCTTGTTGAATGCTGTATCAGCAATAATTGAGGTATATCACAGAGGTCTGTAAATAACCACGGCTGGCTCAGACAATCCAGTGATTGAAATAATGAGCATCGATCCATGGAATCGCTATTATTTACAAGTATAAAGATTCATAGTAACACATGTGTGCCGTTTTGAGATCTGCACAGTGAAGTTGTGAATATAGTAATCCGTCATTGAATGGATATCAGAATGCACATGTACTGCCTGTGAAGATCCGGGACAGAACTGATCTTCAGAAGGCCATGCTTGCCGTAAGAGGTGACTAACGGGATCAGGCTGTCATGCCTGCTGGCTTGGCTATGACATTCTCATAATGCCAATCACTGCATGGTCTGTTCCAGACTCAATTCTTTACCGAAAGTCATCATAACGTCCCAGACAACAACATAGTCTCAAACCATATATGTCAAGGTGTACATATTCATTTTCTGTGACGCTGAAAAGTTTAAACACGTAGATTCTATATTAACCTGAAGATACCTCTGCTGAAAGATTAATTCATGAACATCAATGCTTTAATATCATATCATATCATTAAGGTAATAATTTCTGACAATATTACTTAGATATCTGGTAATCTGGTAATAATTATTAATAACGCATTCGCCATGTGTTATTTAGGCAACAGGGAAGTCGTGCACTTCCTTGGAGTCGGCGGTGCAGGTGGCCTGAAGCACCAATGCAAAAAGTGTGTAGTAAAGTTTTGTAAAGGAGTCGTGCACAAAGAAGGGTTTGGGGACGTTCCTGGAAACAGCAAAGTGTATAAGAACAACTCAAAGGACACGAAATTAAAGTCAGTTTTGTTTGTTGTTCAGTGCAGAACTCATTCAATTTCCACCTGTAAGATAGTGTGACATCTGTGTTATTGATTCTGTGCCAGAAAAACCAGTGATTGATACTTTTGGAAGTGAAATGTACTCCTTGTAACGATCCTAGGAGAACGGTTCATTTTGAAATCCTGAACAATGGTTTATATTCAGTTGTTGAAGTCTTTCCATCGTCTCCATTGATACCGAGGAATTGAGTTCCATAATCATATTGTTGTTCCGTTGTTTCCAGACCGTTTCAACCAGACGAGATAGTAAGAAGAGCATCATGCAATCTTGGTGTAGTAGACTATAACATAGTGTTAACAATCTGTGAACACTTTGCTACATGGTGCCGGTATGGAAAAACAGAAAGTGATCAGGTTTGTAATTGTCCAACTGTTCCTTTGCCAGATTTATTTGTTTTCCACAAGGCTCTGTAAATTGAACTAGAAGATCGACTATTGAATTACTTAAACAAATATATTTAACTTGCCACTGGTCACATATACAAAACCAAAGCAAATTTACTGGTGGCCAAAACAGATTGCTTTGTTCAATGGTAAAAGGGTCTCTTCTATCTTGCAAAACAGATAACTTTGAATGATACACTTTGTTTAGCACAGTTCTGGTCACCTCAGGCGTGATATTGCTGGAATACTGCTGAAAGCGGTGCAAAACGCAAATCGCTCACTCACTCTTCTTTAAAAGAGATGCAAAACGATTCCCCTTGGGGTCGTAACACATTACCTTTCAGAACAACCAGCACGTCCAAAAACATTTGATATTGCTTACACCAAAACCGTAGGATTAAAATAGTGTTGTCAGTGATTTTGGAAACACATTATGGATGTAGAAAACAAATCAAACATCAACCCGTGTTTCGTTCCTTTAGGTTGGTGGTCTGTTTAAAGTAGCGGCTGTGGCAGTCGGCGGCTTTACGGTGGCGGTCGGGTTGTTGGCTGCCTTTTTTGGAAGAAAATAACAGTCGGACTACTCAATTTCCACAATAAAATGGTTGCGAATTACACAGAATACATCGATCATGGAAACTGGTTTGATCTGACGGATGCACTGTATTTGAATGCAAAGTGATTCACTGGGTTCTACTAGTACTACCATATTGACAGTTGCGGAACAAGTCTATTGACCCTTCACAAAAGATTCCATCATGTAGTATGAAATATGTGAACGCTGTGGAACAAGAACGATAACTCTTATACTGTCTGTATGTTACAGCAGTAACATGCAAGCTCCAACACCGTGGTTTCAGTATATACCAACCTTATTGTTATTAAAATGCCGTTTGTATTCCGAGACATTCGTCATCGCTCACCCCTTTCAAATTACCCGCAGGGATTGAGGTACTTTGATCATCAACAGTTCAACTGGTTATGGCATTATGCACCTAAAAACTGTAAAATATTCCGATGTTACAATCGTATCATGCTGCTAATTTCGAAAATTTTGATACGGCTAGGGCCATGAAAGGTGAAGGATAGCTGTTGGAGATTACTGTTGGAATTAAACAGAAATAGAGTTGCCGTTCTTGTTGGAAGTAGTTCTGATGTTCATACGCCAGTATGAAGTCCCCCCAGAGAGGCAAGAGTCGATACTTGGCCTGTCCAGGAATAACACAAGTCGGTCCCGAATGACTTATGATCTTGTTACAAATTATTTTAAGATTATTTTTATTTAGTTTGTACGTGAAATATGTGATCCAAAAGCAATGTTTTGGAGTGCCTTTCTTTGTAACATATCAAACTTTTGCCTGACTATTCCAATTGGTTTCAGTGTATTGGAACAGTTTATATACTTATTGTTAGATGCAGAAATAGTATATGTTAGTTTTGAATGGTTCGCTCACTCACCACGAGAATTTTGTAGCTTCAAGCTAGTCACACTGTATGACCCCATGTGGGTGTGGTCAGATCTTCCCATAGAGGTATGGACATTTTTTCACACTCTTGTATACAAAGTTTTGTAACATTTTGTACCTATAGGATTACGCCATACTGCAGTATTAATCACCAGGCCATAACTCTGTAAAGCCATACTTATCTCGAACCCAAGATGGTGGTTTCGAATCTAAGATACTGCTTTGGTTTGTCGATACCACACCCGTCTGTTGCCGCAAAGTGCAGATGTAATGGAATATTTATATCACCTTCTGATTATAAGTGGTAAAAATATACAAACCTATTCATTTCAGTGTTTTAAGAGTGGATGTTTATCTTTCTTTTCAAGATTTTGTGCAATTTTTATGCATGTAGCAAATATGTCTCCATTTTGTATGTGCTTATTATGTTAATGATTCAAATCAAAACGAAAGAGAAGCTAGACTTATCAGTTTATCTTGAAATATATGCTTTCTATCAGCAAAATTATCCTATTTGTCAACTAGAGCCATTTGCACGTTACGTCAACAATATTGTACTGTTCGGTTACACCATTACTGGCAAACAAGGGTAAGTTGAGCACCGACCTGACAACTGACCCGTATAAGCATGTATGAGTGCCGCCCACTCCATTGTGAGCGAAGGGGCCCAAGGTTGTCCGAATATTACCGACTTGCTACACCGACCTCATGAGAGTCTTATGAGCAAGGCGTGTGCAGCTACGCGCGGGATTAATTTCATCGTCATGCACTGTTCGTGCGCTAGCCTCCATCTTCTCTACATTTCACAAGCCAAATGGGTTTGCTCATTTCCATGCTCTGCCTACTTCTCGTAAACGCGTCCTCTGCGCCTGGCCAGCTTTTCCTTGTTTGCCTGTAGTTCGTCGTGAGAATGAGGTATTGAGTAAATTGCAACAATAAACGACGTTACTAATCACGCTGATCTTGATGCATGTCATATTAACCGACTTCTATAAATCAATGATCTGGTCCAGTCAGATATTACAGATGCAATAGTGTTGAGTACAACAATAAAATTAATCCATAACTGTTGTTACCAAACCTTAGGGAGAGTCATGACATCGCCACTTTGTATCAGTTTACTCGCTGTATGAATGTCATAAAAGACCTGTTGAAATCGATTGTCTGTAACTACCAAGATCCAGCGTGGCATGAGATTCGTTAGTCACGGTTAATTGCGTATTATGCTATTTTTAAGAACCCGTTGAGATTCTGGCTTATTTGTCTGTCCAAACGCATGTTCATCACATGACTTTACGCATCTATGGCTTGTTTGACTGTGTTGTACCTGAACCGGGGAATTTGGAACAAAGCAATCAATGGATTCATTTAAGAGCAGCTACCCACGAAACAGGAAAAACAGGTCCGTTATTATTACGTAACTATGCAGTGTTGTCAAGCAACTAACAATGCCGTCGATTCCATGGACGATGTAGAGATGACGTAATGCAAAAGATCAATAATCAAGAAGTACAGTTGCTAGGAGGGTCTATTAGGGATCCGAAGGCGAGGAAGGTAAGTGTTGGTAATTTCATCGCCCCTGTGTAAGCCATGCCCTTTTTGTGAGTTTACATGTTGGAATCTGTTGTCTTGAGCAGCAAGATCTTTGAGTCGCCCATCACTTGATATTGGTTTACATACTGTTGTTAAGACCCTGCGTTTTGTGTCCAAACACAGGTGTGCCATATAAGGCGATTATGTGTATTGGTGCCTTGTTTGATCGTGTGTAATCTTAACCACGGACGGAGAAAACAGCGCACAGAATTTGTGAATTGCTAAAAGATGAACGTTTCTTATACGGGTCAGGTCAGCATTGAACACCTGTTAAATATGGACCTGTTGTAAACCAATGTAACACTATCAGAAATTCTGAAATGTGACAATTGGGGCACGCGCAGTTAGGATTCCTCGGGAACAGACATCTGGGAAAACCCAATGTCAGGATGACAAAACACTTTGTGCACAGGTATGTGAACAAATGGACGTTGATTTTCTGAGGCACTTCAATGCAAGCATTGTAAGTGTTTGTGTAGCACGTCTGTGTAAGTTGATTTGGCACTGAATAAAAATAATGCACTAGCAATATATATAATTGATTTTTTGGGTGAGTTCGTGATTATTTGTAAGTTTTTGATTCAGTATATGCAAGTTTGTGACTCATTATTCATTACCTTGTGATTCAGTATGTGTAATTGTGGTATTCCATATTGGTAAGTTTGTGAATCAGTATTTGTAAGTGTGCGGTTCAACCGTATTACTCAACACATTTAAAAAATTAACATACCCCACCTAATGATCAGAATTCGGCACACAAACACAATCATCCATAAACATGAATTACACAGACACATTATTTTATCGACACTACAGCTTGTTCAGCTTGACCTGAGCTACTCTACATATACATGACCCGCGAGGTCAAATGGCACAAACAACAGGTCGAGGTAATTGCATTAGATAGGGGAGCAGAGAGAGTTATTAATGTTGCGTTCGTGTGAAACATGCATACATGGACTCGTTACAGAACTTGTCCCGGAAAACAACACTGCTGAAAAAATCATTTCTTGTTTTAATTGATTTATGTATACAGTCAACTGCTATCTAGTTTGGTTTACTAGCTTTACAACGAACAGACGTCAGTTACTTTCACAATCCGATTCACTTTCGATTTCACTCTCTACCATATGTAGCTTCTTGTTTCAAGAAAGTTTGGACATGGCTGACGATTTTTCGTCACTGAGATGTCAAACGGCGACCTTGGCTCGGCTGTTCCGACATGTTGACAATAAACTGACAAAGGAGTACCCCTTCACAATAATAGACCCAACCGGTTGTGACACGGTCACGCAATGCATTAGTATTCACGTGATCAGTTCAAGCTGAACAAGCTGTAGACAAATCAATACTATACTGGATACTGTTAGCTGGATAATGTGTATCAGATGAGATTGGTTCTCAGTATTTTAATGGTTTTTAAAGTCGACCGAATAGATCAAAATCGATAGTTTTGATGATTTGAAATACAGTAAGCTACGTTTATAACCAACTATGTCTTCCCGGCCACTTACTGTATATGTTTCTTGATAATCGTATAATTGAACGTATATAACGACCGAAATATAGTGGTCTCGTTGAGTTCGTTATAACTAGGGGTGACTATTGAGGCCATTCGTGACCAACTCGTGCTATTCCGGGACAAGCCGAATAGCGACTCGTGACACTCTAGAAGGAACATCAGAACTACTTCAAACAGGAATGATATCTCTATTCCATGTTTGATTCCAATGGTACTAATATCACCGAAGTACTCATAAAAATATATGAATGACCCCCCCAAAAGTCAGTCTAAAATATTCCCAGAGATGTGAAATATATGCCCAATGTTAAAGATTAAAGTTGATTAGTTACATACAGATATAATATTATTGTTTTGAAACTTGTAGCGATTTATAATTACATTTCCTAAAACTGTTGGAAGCGCACGTACAATGACCACAACAAGCCCACAAGATCGTCAGCAATACGCTCAGTTGGACCAGTGAGAGCCGTTATGTCAACCAACGCACGTTCGTGTTTTTGAATCTCTTCACATTACACAGCACAATTCTGTTACCTACGTTCATAGTACTTTCAATATGACGATATATATTTTTCATGATTTTTAAAACAATAACATAATGCCATAAACGATTTAAGTAGTCGGGATTATTTTTATCAAAGCACCGCAACCATTATGCGCGTTCTGATTGGTTTCTCGTATTTTCGCACATGACAAGCATCGAGAGGGTGACGAGTCTTCTTGGAGGTTACGGAAAGGGGCGAGTGGTGACGAATGTATTGAGGTGGAAACAACTATTGCGATAGCGATAGCGACGATAGTCTATTGCAACCTACTATTGCGATATCGATAACCTATTGAAATACGATTGCAATAGTTTTTCTCTCCTTGAATTGTCTCATTTGAGGTCATTTCCCAAATTAATGTATAGTTTATATGAAATAAATACAAGTTGAAGTAGTTTAAATCTCAGTTAATAACTGACAAGAAACTTGAAACCCAGATCAAGTAAACCGCTAAAACATAAGAGGGGCGGATAACTCCAAATCAAAGTGAACAAATCTGGTATTTTGAGCTGCGTATTTATCAACGGAAGTCAATGACTAAACTATCGATAGCCACACATACTTTCGATGCTATCTACCATCGATTAATTGCTGTGGGAGACTCAACCATTGCAACCCATCGATGGTTCGATGCATCGTTACAGCTCTAGTTATAGCCGTAGCTGACTGTATTTTCTCAAGTACTAACATCAGTAGCTGACTATGTGTCTGTCAAATATGTTATCACAGATGATTTGTTTGGCCGCCGGGAAATGTCTTTAGGATTAAATAGAGTCGACCGATACTCATAAACACGCTATGCCAATGACATTTAATGTCACTAATTTTAAACAATACATCATAATACCGTGACAGCGTGACATCTCCACGGGACACTTGACCACTGATTAATACCATGGCAACGATGGCAACGATGGCAATGATCCAAGAGCACAACGACGCCGTGTTGTCAAGCTTGGAGCCCGGTGACCAGGTGGAGTTTGAGGGACGGTTGTTTAATCACTGGGCCGTGTATATTGGTAGGCAAATATTCACTGATTCTCTTTGACACTTTGAAGAAGAATACATAAGAGATTCGTATTTTCTTTACTGTCCCCTTTAAATGAACTACAATGAATGGTCTCGGCCGACCTTTGGTTAGTACTATACAATATTCCAAGGTAATTTACATAATCGCCCAGTAACACCGAAAAAACAAAATCCATTCGTTCCCATCTGCTACACATTGCAATCTCCCAGTAACATCTACTAATCAGAATCAATGCTTCCAATCTGTTATACACTGTAATAACTAAATAACATTATAAGAGTTCCGTCCAGTGTTGAAGGAGACAAACATGTTATAAGTTTATGTGTCCTCCGGTGATGGTTACCTGATTCACCTGACCAGCGGTGATGGTCAGAGCTCTAAAAAGAATGACAAAGCCGTTATCCGTCAAGACAAAATCCAGAATGCTGCTAACAACAGAAAGATGACTAAAAACAACTCCAAGGGCGAGACATAGGGACTAACGTAAGACACAAATGAAAGAATGAAGTACTTATCTAGTGGAAGAAACTAAACCCCATATAAAATCCTGTCACTCCAGAGTTGAGTTATCATGAAAATGAAGGGAACCAAGCGACAGATATTGGGCAAGACATAAGATACCGTTTCTGTCAAGGGGTGGTGCTGAGATTTTGCTAGGACTGCTTGCTTTATTGAGGCATCTCTATTATTAAGCTTTGCTGATATCCTTAGTACTATGTGTAGAAATACAAATTTCTACTCTTTCTGGTTTTGGACAGGGATGTTGAAGATGTTGAGGGCTGACTTTCGGTTCTCATTTGTTCTGTTTGTTATAGACTAAGGTTGTTTTTAGCGGTTTGGGGCCAGTATGTTACTATACTTTTGCAGACTTTACCTTTAGAAGCCTCAGACATAGTTTCTGAATTATTTCGAAAGTTTATTATCCCCGTAATTTAGACTTATAACATAGTTTGGGGGAACTGTACTATCGAATGAAGAAAACAGACAGTCAAACGGGAAATACGTGTTGACCTCTTTACAGACCCTTCAGCAAGTCTCAGGTCGTTGAGAGAGCCATGAGCCAGCTTGGCAGAAAGGGATATCATCTGCTTGTCAGAAACTGTGAACACTTCGTATCGTGGTGCTACTACGACTTTGAAATAAGTGATCAGGTGGGAATCATTTCTTTAGTTCCCAAAAGTACTACGTTTTGTTTACAACATCTCTGTTATTAGCTCAACTGACAGTGGAAGCAGTAGGGTTCATCGACTCCCCATTCACAGTCTCTTATCCATGTTATGAATATCTGAGTAAAGATCACATGCCAAGCTCATGTGTTTCACCCATTTATTTCAGGAAGACAAACATTTAAAGAATATAGTATTTGAAGTATATATTTTATCACAGCAACGTTAGCTAATGTTCGCCAAGCCAAGTGAACATGTAACTTGAAAACAAAACACTTACAAATATGAAACTTAGCCAACGTTTGTCACTGCTGAGGAATTCATGATACAATATTTGTATGTTCCGAAACGATTTCAACTACAGTTTTAACGTGTGACCAGTATCAAACTGCTGAGGTACCAAAATGGTTTCTCTTTAAAAGATTCCCAAAGTGAACAGTATTGACGGTTATATCAAAAAGCACCAAACATCCCCATAGTTTGAGCACAAATGCAGAAGGATATGTAGATATATATTCCTTTTGGTTTGGAAGGGTGAGTTCATGGTAAAGGTGAAGTCTTTGAAGGTGATAGAATGGACGGCGAAAGCGGCAGAAATGATCATCAAGTGGTTCGAGGAAAGAAGAACTTGAATCGGTCGAAATCTTGAAAAAAGAGAATTTACAGACTCCAAGTTACCAGTTGTGTATAACAGACAACCAAAATTCTACCTTACCATTGTATTTTATGCTGTATTTACAGGACATCTGTAATAATTCTGCAGTGAAATGTAAATGTTGAACTTAAATTGTACATGATACTTCTTTCAAGTGCTTATCGAACAAGTGACCCTGTATTTGTAACATGGAAATGGGAAATAAAAGCCTTAAAAGAAAAAAAAGTACATTCTATCCTCCGAATCCTCTGGACCAGTGAAGCTGAAACTTCACATGCTTCTTCGCAGCAACTGTTCTACTAAAATTTGTTTAATGTGTTAAAATTTTATTTTGATAGAATTCTATTTGGCCTTCACAGCAACTGTTTTTTGAAAAATATATTCGTGACCATTGCTATGCCTATTTCGTACAAACATTGATAGATTCAATTTGTTTAATTTGTGATGCGATTCGGGAAATATTTTTCATTTTTTCAGTGTGCTGAATGTAAGAAAATCTTTCATTTCAACAATTTTGTATACATCGTATGACTGAAATAAATATGCAAACATTTCTTTTGTGTTGATTGTGTTCAAGTAGCCTGGAAGGAACTTTAGGCATGCTACTGATATCTTAATTTGTACCCATATGGGAATCAAACCCGAGCGTACGCTTTAACCACTAGACTGCCACTTCCGCCCCTCCTGGGAATAACCCGTAGCACGAATAAATGTAGAAGCTTTGATTTGTTTCGACCTGGTTATCTCGACCTCGGTGTTTTGTCAGGCATCGGGAGAATCCACATAGTTGGAGAATATACTGGCTTCGAACCACGCTAGTAAACAAGAGAAGTGGCATCAAAATTGAGGACTTGATCTTCGTGTAGACAGACAAGTAACAACTATTAGCAGTCTATATATTTACCGAACATTCTACTAAACACAAGTTTCTGATGATCATTAACTCATCATTGATAAGTAACACTTTTAGTTAGCACCGGTTCCTGAAAAACTTCAACAATATCTCTTATCTTACCTCACACATAAATGTCGTTACCTGATTGGCTAAGCCCTCTTATATTATTTTCAATGTATCCCGCTTACAAACGGTAAACGCTTTCTATGTTACCAACTGGGAATGCCGAACTATGGGAATTCATTTGGTACTTCGCGTTAGCAATCACTTTATCTCGAATAATTGAGTCCAGTATGATGTTTAGCGAATGAAAATTTGTGGAAGGGAGACACCTCTAACTTTTTCTTGTCGTCTGCTAGATTCTATGTCATCTGACACACCTTATTATGATCCGGCACCCGTGCTTCAAACAGTTCAAAATTAACATTGAGGTGTTCGGTAAGATAAATACACTGTACACTGTTCCCTCGGGGCCTATAGGTTGACACAGAGAACATATACAAACATAGAGGGTACATCAACTCTTGTCCCCCTCGTGTCCGGGATTGCAATGATTCAGTTCGATTTATCGAAAATCAAATCTGACACCTTAGTTTCGATTTTCGATAACCATTATCACTAGTTCGATTCGATATTGTAATACCTATTGAAATTATTTCCACACAGCCAGAACGTAAATTTAACTCCATCTCGAGCAGTTTCGAGCGCTGAAATAAGGCGAAACTTGATTGTTCGATTATTATCCAATGAGAATTGTTGTTATTAGATAACGCCAAGTTGACGATGGAGTTCACGCTATAAAGGGCCAACTATGAGAAATTTGATGTTTTGCCTGTATGAAGAATCGAATCGAAAAATCATCGAATCCAGGGTCCAATATCGAAACTCGAATGGAATCGAGGTCTGGGTTAATCGTTCCAGCCCTACTCGCGACCAGTCAACAACAACTTACAATGTTACGTTAATCGTGTCGCCCATTTCCACGTTCGAAATGTACATGTGTTACACTGTAATAGTGCTGACACAAATATATGCTCATGATATAGTCACAATTGTGCAACCGACTCTGGTTTTAGCAGAGAACTTTTATGAATGTGGAAAGGGTTTTGTCGCTTTTATTTACAAGGTACTGTGTTGTGAACCCCTTAGGTAGCTCGGAGGACATATTTTCATATTGTATTACTTGAATCTATTTGTTTTAACACAACAGGATATTTCCTCTGCCACATGTGGAGCATACAAATGACTTCTCCCTTTGATGAACTCCCCTACGTGATATTGCTTGGACATTGCTTAAAGCGGCGTAAAACCATACTCACTCACTTTGATGAATTATTTTGTTCCGCTTTACAGATGACCGTTTTAAGGTTGTTTATGCAAGCTGACAATGGAAGTCACGCTATTTGCATCAGGTTGGCATGAAGTAACTATTGTCCTATTGTCAACCTACTAGTAGAGACTTTGTAATACGATGGTTTGTTCCAACGCAGTTAATTTATCTGACATGCGATGTCAAGATGACATAACACCGTGTATGAGGAAGGCCAACAGTGAAGAGCTGTCTTAGGTAGGAGATTTTTATGAAGACGTCAGTGATAGGAAGGAAAATGTTGGTATATTTCGTGATTTGGCACACAATAGTTATAAAGTAGGAAAAATAAAATGTGATTCAGAATATTTATGTTTGTCTGTCGGTATTTGTAAGCTTATAATGAAATTCTTATCAATTTAAAGTTAAATAACGGATGTACAGGAGCATACATAATTAGCAAAGTGTTTGTTGTGTCTTGATTATATTTGTATTTTAAAACAATGCCTCTGTAATATCCAGGATGTTCTGAGTAGGAAAAGTTGATGGAAGTTAATCGTTGATGTTATTTGTTATTATCCGTTATTGCCCTTACGGCGTTTCTGATAACTGATTACTAACATTTGGTGTTGCACTGTATTTAACTAACCACGGGGCGACAGCGGAACACGACGCTACAATACTGTGTTTGTCGAATTGATGACGTATACCCGTGGTTATATAAATTTAATTGTATCGGCGACGCGTAAATTTGCAGCTATATAACCACCGTTATACGTCGGAGGGGAGTATACTGCGCAACTCAAGGCAAGGAATGTAAGTGTTTGTATGTAGCTCGTCTGTCAAATGTGATCTAACACATATTAATAAGATGTTATTGTACATATAATATATTGTAGGAGGATTTTATAAACCAGGATCTAGTAAGTTTGTGTGTCTCCTTTTCATTACGCAATTGGAACATCATACCACAACTGGACCGTGTTTATCATTTATGCGATTCTTCAGTGAGTGAGTGAGTTTAGTCTTATGCTGCTTTTAGCAATATTCAACAAACCATTCGTTCCCATCTGCTACGTACGTCTCAACATCTACTAAATCAGAATCTGTCTTCCAATCTGTTATACATATTAACTATTTATTATAAGAGTTCGTCCAGTGTTGAAGGAACCTGAAAGCATGTTATAAAGTTTATGTGTCCTCCGGTGATGATTCCTGATTCACCTGACCAGCGGTGATGGTTCAAGAGCTCTAAAAAGAATGACAAAAGCCAAGTTGGCCGTCCCAAGACAAAATCCAAGAATGCTGCTAACAAACAAGAAAGCCATTTGACTAAAGAAACAACAAGGGCAGAACGCAAGGGTTAACGTAAGACACAGCATGAAAGAATAAAGTACTTATCGAAAGTGGAAGAAACTAAAACCCCATATGAGTATACTGTCACCCAGAGTTGAGTTATCCTCTCCTTGAAATGAAGGGAAACAAAGCGACAGGATATTGGGTGAGACATAAGATACCGTTTCCTTGTCAAGTGGGGTGGTGCTGAGATTTTGCCAGGACTGCTTGCTTTTATTGAGGCATCTCTATTATTAAACTCTTGCTTGATATCCTTGAGTACTTATGTGTGTAGAAATACAAATTTCTCTACTCTTTCTGGTTTTGGACAGGGATGTTGAAGAAGATGTTGAGGGCTGACTTTCCAGTTCTCATTTTGTTCTGTTTTGTTGTTGCGCCAGGCTAAAGAGTTGTTTTTAGCGGTTTGGGGCCAGTATGTTACTATACTTTTTACCGAACTTTTACCTTTAGAAGCCTCAGACATAGTTTTCTGAATTATTTCGAAAGTTTATTATCCCCCGTAATTTAGACTTATAACATAGTTTGGGGAACTGTACTATCGAATGAAGAAATCAGACAGTCAAACGGGAAATTACGTGTTGACTCTTCTTTTACAGACCCTTCCAGCAAGTCTCAGGTCGTTGAGATGGGAAGGCCATGAGCCAACTTGGCAGAAAGGGATATCATCTCGCTTGTCAGAAACTGTGAATCACTTCGTATCGTGGGTGCTACTACGACACGGAAATAAGTGATCAGGGTGGGAATCATTTCTTTAGTTCCCAAAAGTACTACGTTTTGTTTACAACATCTCTGTTATTAGCTCAACTGGGACAGTGGAAGCAGTAGGGTTCATCGACTCCCCATTCACAGTCTCTTATCCATGTTATGAATATCTGAGTAAAGATCACATGCCAAGCTCATGTGTTTCACCCGATTTATTTCAGGAAGACAAACATTTAAAGAATATAGTATTTGAAGTATATATTTTATCACTGTTAACGTTAGCTAATGTTCGCCAAGCCAAAGTGAACATGTAACTTGAAACAAAACACTTACAAATATGAAACTTAGGCCAACGTTTGTCACTGCTGAGGAATTTCATGATACAATATTTGTATGTTCCGAAACGATTTCAACTACAGTTTTAACGTGTGACCAGTATCAAACTGCTGAAGGCACCAAATGGTTTTCTCTTTAAAAGATTCCCAAAGTGAACAGTATTGACGGTTATATCATCAAAAGCACCGCCGATCCCCTATGGTTAAGGCACAATGCAGAAGGATAATATTAGATATATATTCCTTTTGGTTTGGAGAATTGAGTTCGTGGTAAAGGTGCTGAAGTCTTTGAAGGTGATAGAATGGACGGCGAAAGCGGCAGAAATGATCATCAAGTGGTTGTTCGGAGGAAAGAAGAACTTGAATCGGTCGAAATCTTGAAAAAAAGAAATTTAAGACTCAAGTTACCGAGTCAAAAAGTATAACAGACAACCAAAATTCTACCTTACCATTGTATTTTACTGCATGTACAGGACATCTGTAATAATTCTGCAAGTAGAAATATAAATGTTGAACTTAAATTGTACCATGATACTTCTTTTTAAGGTGCTTCATCGAACAAAGGCACCTTGCATTTGTAACGCGGAAATGGGGAAATAAAAAGCCTAAAAGAAAAAAAAGTACATTCTATCCTCCGAATCCTCTGGACCAGTGAAGCTGAAACTTCACATGCTTCTTCGCAGCAACTGTTCTACTAAAATTTGTTTAATGTGTTAAAATTTTATTTTGATAGAATTCTATTTGGCCTTCACAGCAACTGTTTTGAAAAATATATTCAGTGACCAT